CATGCCAAATTGAAATGACATCTCTAATTAATATATGTGACGTTTACATCACACTGTTTCTATGGTCTTCATAGTAGTGACAAAGAAGAATTAAAGTGATGATGGGTGCAAAAATAAAAGAGCTCTAAGGAGCAGAAGACTGACCTCACCTTTCTTCAGGAAATAAGAACAGTAGCTGTCTGGTCTATGTTTATCCCAGTACATAATTCTCTCCTTATCTGTCTCTTACTTTTTCTAACTTTCAAGCCATCAAAAAATAAACAAAAGGGCAAGGACACCAGACTGTGACCTTCTCAAAACTATACATTTTTACTGCCCCAGTATGTTTCCACAATGTTTTGGAAAGAAAGAGGTAGAATTTAATTGGCTGTAGTGTCAAGTCAAGGGTCTTGTACAAAATATTGCTGTACTGTGCCTAAATGAGTCATGAACTGTCATTAAAACTCATCTGGCCCAGGCGGTATCAAGGTGCAAACTGATCATAAAAGTGGTTCCATTAGTCTCAGTGCTCTGATGATCCTGGGAGCGCCAGATGTGCCAGCAAGAGTCCTGAAGGGGTTCCAGGTGTTTCTGGCTGCCGCACTGCTCTGATTCTAACCTGCAGAAAACATACTGCTGTAGGCAATAGGAACAACTGGTGATAGAGCTGACATGCAGAAGGAAAGGCTGAAAACATATGAGGGAGCAACAGTTGTGCTTTAAATAAACTCTATTTGTACAGATGAGCAATGACATAAATATATATGGAGTTTAGAGAAAGATTATGAGCCTTTGAAAATAAAGGTCTTACTTATAATGAGGTTTACATCATCCTGTCAGTTATAGTTCACTGTGCATTTTTGCCTTGTACTTTACCTATCACATCACACAAGATATGTAAGCTATGTAAAAAAGACTATTTTTCTTCATGAAGTATGATTTTTCAAAGAAAATATGAAACTCTGTTCCTGTTATTTGCTGAATAGGTTAGAAATCCATAAGTTAATTTTGTGGTTTTGCTTATAGCAACTTTATGTATAAATCTGTAATCCACAGGCCTACAAACTTCTAGGGTTTGTACATATAATCCATTCTGTTGAAGACAGTGGAACTGCTGATTTGAATTACAATGAAGTGTAAATACAAGAATTCACAGAAAATTGGGATCTATCCAACCTGGAAGAATCGCCTAACATGAACTTTATGAAACACAGCAATAACAAACCCAAATTCCTGCACTTGGGAAGGAGCAGCACCTTGCAGTGATACAGGTTGGGGACTGTCAGCTGGAGGGCAGCTCTGTGGAAAAAGCCCTGGAAGTCCTGGTGGACAGCGAGATGAGCATCTGCCCTGGCAGCAGAATGAGTCACCAGCCTCCCGGCTGCATCAGCAGGAGCATAGCCAGGTCAAGGATTCACAGCAGTACATAGAAGGAGGGCAAGAGACAGCAGGTATTGGTTGGAACAAGACAGGTTCAGCCTAAACAAATGGGTAAACCTTATGACTGTGAGGACAGTCGCCAAAAGGTTGTGTGGTCTCCATCCTCAGAGGTTTTCAAGAGTGGGTAAGGCAGCTACTCAAATCTTATGGCTGACCCTGTTTCAGCAGATGGCTGGAGGAGACATCCTGAAGTTCCTTCCAACATGAATCTTCCCATTTCTAAGATCATGTTACTTTATATAAGGAGGTGATCCTGCTGCTTTGCTCTCATGAGACCTCACTTGGAGTATTGTGTGCAGTTCTGGTGTCCTCAACATAAAAAGGACATGAATCTGTTGGAACAAGTCCAGAGGAGGGCCACGAGAATGATCAGGGGACTGGAGCACCACCCATATGAAGACAGGCTGAGAAAGTTGGGGCTGTTGAGCCTGGAGAAGAGAAGGCTGCGTGGAGACCTCATAGCAGCCTTCCAGTATCTGAAGGGGGCCTATAGGGATGTTGTGGTGGGCCTCTTCATTAGGGACTGTAGTGATAGGACAAGGGGTAATGGGTTAAAAATTAAACAGGGGAAGTTTAGATTAGATATAAGGAGGAAATTCTTTCCTGTTAGGGTAGTGAGGCACTGGAATAGGTTGCCCAGGGAGGTTGTGAATGCTTCATCCATCCCTGGCAGTGTTCAAGGCCAGGTTGGATGAGGCCTTGGGTAATATGGTTTAGAGCGAGGTGTCCCTGCCCATGCCAGGGGGGTTGGAACTTGATGTTCTTAAGGTCCTTTCCAACCCTAACCATTCCATGATTCTATATGACTCAGAAGATAGCAGTAGTTTTTGCTCTTGAAAAGAATGCATTGTAGAAGATTTATTGAATTTCGTACATCACCTATTAATTATCAGCTTTACTTAAGTGCAATCAGTGCCGCATAATTAAAGAGATCAGCCCCCCCCCAAAACTGTAGTCGTCTCCTGAAGCAGTCAATTAACTTCTTGGAAGCTTAAGAGTACCCTCTGCTGGCATAACGTGGCAGTTGCGAAAATCTGCAGCACAACCTACTGAAACAGCATCAGAGATGGATTGCTTTCCCAGCATAGCACAGCTGTGCATCTCTGCATGGGGCAAACAGCTGTGCAGTAACATTTATAATCTACAAAGGGAATGCCTGGAGCAACATCGCACCACACCTGCCGTAGAGCTCTTTCCCAAACAACTGGAATTCCAGAGCTGTCGTTCCGTTAGGATGCTTGTCTTGTCAAATAGCCTGTCAAATGCCATCTGTGTGAAGAGCTTTAACATAAAATAAAACTTATTCTGGGGACACTCTGTTTGTTTTGAACATGAACAGTGTGCAATGAATTGATAACAGAATTATGTCCTTAAAGACAGCACAGCTTGTGTCTTAATGAGTCATCTTCCTCTCTTGTGAGCTCATGTGAAGTTTATCCAGATTCTACAGCTCATGCTGCAATGAAACTCCTTGTTGCAGAGTTGACATCAGGTAGGAAAAATTTATTTTAATCACTGCATATAAAAATGATACAAAGTTATGAAATACTTAATTTGAAAGGTCTTTTGTTTATGTGTATTATGGCACATAGGTCTCTTAACTATCAGTGAATGTATTTCTTTATAAACATAAGCATTTAGATATCTAGATGAGTAAATGCAAAAATGAAGATGACACACAATGCTTTACTTCTTAACTTTATTACCAAGGAGAAGCTGCTGCTTCAGTCCAGGCTCTTGGACAAAGATATTAAAGAGCTCTGAGAGGCTGCCATTGATGGTGGATATCACATCACCCCTTTCTGGTGGCTCCTTCATGCACCTAATGTCTTCTCACATTCCCTTTTCTCCATTCCCAGTGACCTGTTACCCTACTTGCCAGAGCTGAGCAGCCAAGGCTAACCTTGCTGTTACTTAATGAATAAACGAGACAGTAACTTTCTCACGGCACCTTACAAAGTCACGGAGAGAACCCACTCATACAGCAAAACTTCTGAATTTCCCCCAGAAAAAGTTAAAGTTGATCTTGGTACTGAAACTACCTGTTTAAAACTACAGCAACTACATTGCCACTGAGAGTTATGATTAGCTATTTACCTAAAAGTATTTCATATGAAAATGTCAGCTGTTGTAACGCTTTTTTAAAAGGTAGTTTCTGTCCTTTGCTTCAGCACTTGAAAACATGACACTGCCTCTTTTCAATTTAAAAGCGAACTGAAAACCTGCATATTGTTTTTGTTAAATGTCAGTGATGAATCTCAGTTCCATGACTGTTCCTCTTGAACCTTTTGGGAGGCGAAGATCGCACAAAGGACCATCTTTTGTGTGTGTGCATTACCACAAGCACCATGATCACAGCTGCACATAGGAGTGTTAGTCATTAAAACTGCTAGTCGTTAAAAAGAATTACTAGCAAATGAGCACCTGACAATATGTTCCAGTAGATAAAATAATAGGAAATGATGGAAAAGATACTACCTCAGCAGTTCTGTCATCAGATACTGCATTTCCAAAAGACACAGAGAATAATTCCATGGTAGCAAGGAATAAGATCACCCACAACGCCTCTCTTGTTAGAATCCTGATTAGCTTATTCACACATCCCTTTTCTGGGCAGCCCTTTTAAATGTAGAAAAACAAACAAAAGAAGAAACCCCAAAACAAATGCATAATATGTAGGCTACCTTATACTACAAGAAAAACTACATACTGGAAAATTCCACTGAGTATGAGTTGATGGTAGTTTCTAAACAGAAATGTGCAAGCCTATGCTCTTTTTAGCTGTATTCTGTAATCCTCTTTCTGCTCCCTTTAACCAGCACCACAATGTATTCCTTGCTTTGTTTGCCTGCTTCCATCAGCTTCAAATACGGTACCTGAATGGTCTTTAGCTTATTTATGACTGTGAATGTCCTGCAGAATATACCTATTTTAACTCTTATACTTGCCTTGAAGCTTAGGGACAGCATATAGAAAGGCTGCATCTAGGATAAATGTATTAGCTTTCCCTCTGAAATGGCACAAGAGACAATAAAATTGATGGTGGAATGCTTGGTCTGAAGGACTGGAAAGCATTACATGCAGCAGTAGACTGTAGTGAAAGTCATGTATTCTTCAATTCTGGAAAGTGGTCATGTAACAACTGTGGGCCACTGCATCATCACTGTATAAACAAGCTTATATACCTAATGCAAGTATATGGAAGAAAGACTTGTTTACCTACATTTGACAACTTGTTTGACATAATTCTACCTACAGAGGGCAGTTGGTGGGTGCCCCTTTTTTATTGGCTTGGGGGTTGTTGTTGTGTTTGTTGTTGTTTGGTTTTTGTGTTTATTTTCTTGTTAGTCCCCACCTCGTCTCCCTCCCCATACATTCCAGCACAACCAAGTGCTTAGAAGGCTCTGGATTTGGGTGTTTGTGGGGATTTTTGTTTGGTTGGTTTTGTTGGTTGGTTGGGGTTTTTTTGGTGAGGTGGGTTTTGTTTTGCTTTGCTTTGTTTTCCTTTTTTCATTGTCTAAATGAAAAACATGCTTGACAAGACAGCAAGGTATTCACATCTGAAAAATGTTTAAGGCACATTCCAACAAAATAAACTTTTATTGAATGCAGAATTAGGCATTCTAATTTGTGGGAACAGTGCTTCCTCACCCAAAGAGATTCCCTTTGACAATTTCTAAAAGCTGTATTTCAGTTACAGAAATATTTCTCAAGGAACACCAAACTTCAGTCTAAATTCTTCTTGAATTACGGTGCAACTAAGTCCTTCCAAATGATGACAGTTTTCAGGAGACACTAGAATGAGAAGCCTGCAAGTGGTTTACAATGACTGCGTACAATGTTAATTGAAATTTTATACTAAAACCCACCTAGACTGTTGTTCTTGAAGAATTATATAAAAAGTGTCATTTAAGAATAAAGAAATGCAGCTTAAAGAGAAATTTATCAACATTAAAAAAAAACCTTAACAGCAACCTGCATATTTAATACCATTTCCACAGTATGTCAGCTTGCAGAGACTTAGTCCAATAATTTAAAACTTTAGATAGGAATGTCTTTTGGTTCTGAATGCAGATCATAAGTCATCATGTCCAATAGGTGAAGGCTGAGTTGTTTCACTTTCTACTTTGTCTCCTGTGAAATTAAGTATCATAATTAGAATACAAGTGTGTTATTAATTATACCATATAGTTTTTGACATTACAAATTTTTTAAAGAGAAACCCAAATCAACATATTTATCAAGATGAAAGAAGCAATAAAGCCATACAGAAAAGCTACTTGCACCATCTTCCTAGTCTAAGCTTATCATACTGTTTTTCTAGATGCAACAAAGCTTTTCAAACAAACTGATATGATATTGTTAGTAGGATTAAAAAGCAGGACAGCTATTTCTATTCTAACCTTATTTTTTCAGCAATAGACAGTAAACTTTCTCCTTTTCCTATAACCTGTCAGAAGAAATTCCGGTATTTGTAAACAAAAAGCAAGTATTACTCAGAATTGTTTTCTATACAGCAAATTTGCTCACTTAAGATGTTAAAACAGCCTAAAAATAAAAAAAAAGAGAATTTTATTTTTATATATTGGTAAAAACGTGAATCTAAGAAAACAGCTAACCAACTTACCAACTTTTCACTCTGCCTTTGTTCTTATAAAATGTCAAGCCACATTAAAAATCATTAAGTATCTGCACAGGAAAAGTACGTAACTGATTTTAAAGGACTAACAACAGTGAGTACTGAGAATATAAGGTCTGAACTGAATGGCTCCAAATAGCGATAATACATAGATCTTTACAATTTAGTACAGGATGAAAAAGCAGTCGATGGGGCAAAAACAAACAAACAAACAAGCTAAAAAGTAGAAAGAAAATAAAGTTACAAAATTGTCTCTCATCTACTCTCCTACAATCTTTATTGCAAAAGAATCCTGTATTTCACTTTGGAATTGCAAAAAAAGCCTAGGTGAAATAATGAAACACTAATGAACGTAATTCTATTCATTATGTGTCATCACAGAGCAAATCACACTCGCATTTCTTGAGTAAAGGTGTAGTTTAAGTCAAGCTAACCAGTTCTCTGCTACTGAAAGGCAGATGTCTTCTCCATATTCACCTTCACATTACTTCTGGCACTTTTGTGGTCACAAAATAAACAAATTCAGCTCACTCATCCAATTTTATGAGATTTCAGTTAGTTGAAGCAGCTTGCATGCAAACAGATAAATCCTTGTCATTGTAATTAATAATAAAGGAAAAAAGTGGGGAAGAGGAAGATCTCCTGTCTATTATAGCAGTAATTTCCTACTTCACTTTATGTAATGAAGACAGACACTTAAATGGGATCCACAAATACAACCTTGAGTTAAGAAAAAAAAAAAAAAAAAGCAGCACAAGAACAGGATGTTAAAAAAATCCACTGTCTTTAAGCAAGAAAACATGCATGCCAGAATACAGCCTACACCACAAACTACCTGACACAGACCACAGCTGTAGGAAGATGAGAAGTTATACAGAAGAGTTTACAAGCGACTACACCCTCAGACAGAAATATAGCTCCAAGCTGTTGATACAGCATATTTAAAAAAAACCTGTCATTAAAAAGCCACTTGCCTGGTTTTACCATTTGAAGACATGTTCCATCCTTCTCTTCAAACCCTTCTGAACATACACACCTGTAACTACCTGAAGTATTAACACAATCTTGATTCTCTTTCACACAGACCTTTTCGGGAAGGTTACATTCATCTATATCTAGAGATAGGATAAGGAAAGAAAGAGCCCACTGCTGTTATTTTGTTATAAAACTTATTTGTGGCTCAATCACATAATACTCAGTTCAAATACAAGGAACACTGAGGAGCAGAATGCTGTTGCAACAGATTTAACTTCTGTTAAAATAATCTGTTATAGTACTTCATTATTTAGCTGGAGTTTCAAATTTACCCAAAGACTACTGGGGCTTTTTATGTTTTGTAGGCCCCTATGTGAAGAAATAAGCAACACCACTCAACCTACTGAAGATTTCCCATAGTCGTTTCCTACTGATGACATCAAAGTACAACTAAAGGGAAGGAAGCATGTAAATACTATGTCACTATAGTTAACATCCCCTTAAGATCACGCGTGGCTTTTGCTCTTCCCCACAGATAAAACTCTAATTTCACATAATTCACTATGAATTAATATCGTTTGAACTTGGACATAAATTGATTAACAGAAAGTCAACAGAACCCCCATTGTGCTGCTTCTTTTCTGTTACAAAACGAATACAGATGCACACATCTAACAGAGTGGTAGATAATTGACAAGAGACTCGTGTATTTGTTTCTTCTAGCCACTATAAAATACTTTGTTACTTTTTTAGGAATATTCTACCTTTAATCTTTGCCACGCATATTAGCTCAATGATATCAGGGAAGTTATAAAGAAAGTCTTTATTGCTAATACTACAACAAATGGGTTCATTTTGATAGGCTTGAAAACTAAAGCAGACAAACAAATGCAGTTAACAGCTCCTCAGTGTGGTTAACCAAGAGTGAGCTAACCGTGAACTGCTAAATCCACCAACCTGTACATCTTTCATCTTCCTTCGTGTACCCAGATGCGCAGGTCGTACACTTGTCAGAACCTTCCCCTGTGCAACCTATGCAGCTGGCATCACATGCTAAAGATGAAATATTTTAAGCACAGAATTCAGATATCCGAGTTTTAAAGTTCCATCCTTACAGTCAGCTTCCTAACACAAGAAGCCACAGAATCACGAAACAGTTAGGATTGGAAAGGAGCTTAAGATCACCTAGCTCCAACCACCTCCCATGGGCAGGGACACATTCCACTAGACCAGTTTGCTCAAAGCCCCATCCAACCTGCCATCACACCACCCTGTCACACCATTCACCTTTGAACACTGCCAGGGATGGCGAACCCACAACTTCTCTGGGCAACCTGTTCCAGTGTCTCACCACTCTCGCAGTAAAGTTTTCCTAGTATCTAACCTAAATCTGCCCTCTTTCAGTTTAACACCATTCCCCCTTGTCCTATCTCTCCATGCACTTGAAAAAAGTCCCTCTCCAGATTCCCACTTAGGCCCCCTTTAGGTACTGGAAGGCTGCTCTGAGGCTTTCCTGGAGCCTTCTCTTCTCCAGGCTGAACAGCCACAACTCTCTCAGCCTGTCTTCATACAGGAGGTGCTCCAGTCTCCTGATCATATTTGTAGCTCTCCTCTGGACTCAATCCAACAGGTCAATGTCATTGTTAGTTTAGGCGCTCCAGAGCTGGACACAGTACTCCAGGTGGGGTCTCACAAAACCAGAGTAGAAATAACAAGAAATCTCTTGCTTGCTTCATCCTCCCTGTGCCCAGTCAGGCCCAAATGACACTGTATTAAATGCCTGCTGGTACCATGCCCTTTCTAGCATTACATCTGGCATTACATTAAGTTACAAGATGATAAGGTGCAACAACAGATTAAAAAGAAACCTTTGCATGAGAAAGATCCATCTGTGTTCAAACAATATTGGTGATCTTTGCAAGGAGAAGCAGCACACTCATCTATATCTGAAAGATAAAAAGTGTCAAGTTACCTAAAACAGCAATGATTAAAATAGCCAGATTAACACTTAAATGCTATGCTTTGAGATCTTGTAAGAAATGGCCCACAGAAGCTATAAACTGCATTGAGAGTATTGTTAACAATGAGTTCAGGATCAGATATGGAACGTGTCAGACATAAAAGTAACATAACATACACTGTTTTGTTCAGCTTAACATTAACAAATCAAAACTGATCCTCAGAAGATGTTTTGTGATGACAGTAACCAATATTCAGAAATTCAAGAGCTCAAATTGAATAAGAATTCCAGAACACCTGCCATCCTTGTTATTTTCAAGTCTGTGTTTTGCGTGCATTTATGCTTTTTATGCAAACAGCATAACAAATAGGCAGACAGACTACTCTGGAATACTGTTGATTTCTCTACCCCTATACTGCCAAGCTATGGAACTTTTTAAATTACACATATGCATACACATACACTGCTTCTTTTTTTTTTTTTTTTTTTCTTTTTCACATAAAGCAAATTGCAGAAAGACAAGTTATGGTTAGGACCAGTCAAGCTGAAAACCAGTTCTACCCTGGAAGTTAAAACATGCCAGTGTGGTTATTTCAAGGAAAGGGCACACCAGTACTCACAGCTAAAAAATTCACACAGAAATGGATTATTTCTGTCCCCGTGCTGTTTATCTCATCATGTTGCTGCAGACATCATTCATATTCATTACTAAATTTGTACTTTATCAGTTGCAGTGGTAAATTGAAAAAACAGCTGTACAAAAGACAATACTAGAGCATCTTGAAAATGCTCTTGGAGCATTCAACAGTTACCTAAGCAGGTACTGCAGAAGCTGCAATTCAAGTTCCATTTCTCATTAGCACTTTTTAAAAGAAGCAGCGTTCACATAATTCTAAGATACTGTTTCCAAACATCATGTTAAGGGTCAAATTCAACCAGTTACAGGGAATGCACTACTCTCCTCCTTGTGCATTCCTGCACTGGGAGTATTTTTAGTATTTGGAATTCTCCTTAAGTGTTTCATACGTATCTCATAAACCAAGAGAAATAGGCAGGAGATTAATGGAAGCACTGAGCTTGTTGTGTCCTAGTATTTCTCTGCAACAACAGGAATAGTATGCGCTGGCTTTTAGTGAAATGTCTGAACTCTATTAGGGCTGAGCATTTATAAACATACAGTAATGTTAAGACAATTGCACAACTATTACAAAATACGTAGATAAGCTGACGGGAGTCTTGCAGTAGTTGACAAAATAGTTTAAATTGAGAGCAGGGCACTCTTTGTCTTTCAAATAAACAGAAAAACCGTGTCTTGAAAGGAATGCCTGACTTGCTGCTATCTGTATTCCACTAAACTAGAAAGATACACAGTGAACAGTTTGATAAAGACAACCATAATCACCCGGGGATCAATGGGGAGGAAATACTACTTTCTTGCAACATGAAACAAGTTAGCGAGAATGAGACTACAAACTATAGAAAATCTAAACTGACAAAACACTTCCATAAAAACCAATAAAACTCGATGTGACATCATCTAATCTCAGCAGCAGACATTACTAGAAGACCTGTTTGAAGCCTACCAAGCATTACTCACCCACACAAGCTGCTTCTTCATTTTTAATCCAGCCTTCCTTACAGTCTTGGCAGTCCTTGTTACTTGAACCAGTACAAGTTTTACAGGCAGCGTGACAGGCTGAGATAAAAGAAAACTACAATCTGAGCTTTGTTGAGAGATTCCAAGGCAAGTCTGGGCACAAAAATTCTCAAAGAAAACCTTACTTAGGATTCACTGGAAGGTATGAAATTTTAGTAGCTTGACCCTCCCATTCACAAGATTAAATCTTGACTTTATGGTGATATTACTTACAATAATGCAGCTCTACCCTACAACAACATCCCTCCAAAAACCAGCAAAAAACTCCTAGGCAGCCAAACCTAGTTATTGCAGTCACATGCAGCACTTAAAACAGTGCCATGAAATTCTAGTGACTAGAAGTGACAGGGTCCAATTTCCAGAAATATTTGGGAAGAGGAGATCAAGAACATAAATTTTGCTCAGTCTCTTGGGACTGGGACAAGATTTTAAACACAAGAGTCAGAACTCTTACCTAATGAATCCTCAGACTACTTCGCTTGCAACTAGCTTTGAGAGCAATTTCTGAAGTGATACTAGTCTGAAGAAATTCAGAAAGAAGCATACTTGAAACCCAGTTGCATATGCATTTTCTATATATTGAATGCATACCTAACACCATATAACATATGCATGTTATATTGTAAAATAAAACAAATCGTACAGAAGAATTACTACACAGCCAGAAAAAAAAACCCAAACCAACAACGTTCATGTTGAAAACAACCTTATTAGACCCATAGTCAGGGTTTAGCTGCTGCAGAAATCTGCTTCAAGATGTAAAATCAGATGAGTTTGTTTCAACATTAAGCTCAGATACACTTAACTGGAATCAATGTGGTCTACAGTAGAGATCAGCTGCTTCTATGCCCATTTACTCCAGTAAAGCTTATCTGAGACAGGAGGAAAACCTAGCTTTCAAAGTAGTCCACTCTGCAGCAATTTCAGCTCAAGATTTTTGCACACTACTGGGGGGGGGGGGCAGCAAAGCTTGCTCTTCCCTCCCACCTCCCTCGTGACACTGAATTCTGCTTCTTAAAGCAGGAAAAAAAAAATAAAATTTCAAAGACAGTGTGGAAGGATGACCCAACAAAACCTTACAATTCCACCCAACTGACTGATATGTCATTTGTCATTTATGGTAAAAGCTGAGTGACCAAACAGTAATGATATCTTTTTATTTTCATATTTGTCAGTTTAAACTGTTTCTAGCTTTCTTTACAAAAACTGAAGACAAAAAAAAACAACAATCTAAGCACATGTCAAAGACTCTGTTACCTGTACAAACAGAATGTGTCTCATTTCTCAAGGTACTGTAGTAACCATTAGAACAGTCCAAACAAAAGTCTCCTGTATATTCCTTGTTACAGCTACATGTGCCATCTCCACCTCGGGTACCATCACCATCACAGTATCCATTCCCATGGCAAGGTCTTTCTGATCCACCACGACAAGCTACAAATGATCAAAAATACTTTAAAATCAGATGCTAAAGGAAAACAATCTCCGGGAAAGTTCAGTTATAAATTTAATTTTGGGTTAAGACCATGGCTCAGGATTCTATCTATTTTCCTAACTTCCTGGCTAAAGTTGATATCCTTATTTAGAATAGATAGGGTAGAGAAAGGACCTTAACATCATCAAGTTCCAACCCCCCTGCCATGGGCAGGGACACCTTGCACTAAACCATATTACCCAAGGCCTTGTCCAGCCTGGCCTTGAACACTGCCAGCGATGGAGCATTCACAGACTCCCTGGGCAACCCATGCCAGTGCGTCACCACCCTAACAGGAAAGAATTTCCTCCTTATATCTAATCTAAACTTCCCCTGTTTAAGTTTTAACCCATTGCCCCTTGTCCTATCACTACAGTCCCTAATGAAGAGTCAATCCCCAGCATCCCTATAGGCCCCCTTCAGATACTGGAAGGCTGCTATGAGATCTCCATGCAGCCTTCTCTTCTCCAGGCTGAACAGTCCCAGCTTTCTCAGACTATCGTCATACAGGAGGTGCTCCAGTTCCCTGATCATCCTCGTGGCCCTTCTCTGCACTTGGTCCAACAGTTCCATGTCCTTTTGATGTTGAGGACACAAGAACTGCACACAGTACTCCAGGTGAGATCTCACAAGAACAGATCACCTCCTTCGACCTGCTGGTCACACTCCTTTTGATGCAGCCTAGGATACGGTTGGCTTTCTGGACTGCAAGCGCACACTGAAGCCGGCTCATGTTAAGTTTCTCATCGACCAACACCCGCAAGTCCTTCTCCGCAGGGCTGCTCTGAATCTCTTCTCTCCCCAGCCTGTAGCTGTGTCTGGGATTGCTCCGACCCAGGTGTAGGACCTTGCACTTGGCATGGTCAAACTTCATGAGGTTGGCATCAGCCCACCTCACAAGAGTGTCAAGGTCCCTCTGGATGGCATTCCTTCCCTCCAGCTATCAACCGAACCACACAGCTTGGTGTCATCGGCAAACTTGCTGAGGGTGCACTCAATCCCACTGTCCATGTCAGCGACAAAGATGTTAAACAAGACCGGTCCCAACACCGATCCCTGCGGGACACCACTTGTTACTGGTCTCCAGCCGGACATTGAGCCATTGACCACAACTCTATGTGAGGCCATCCAGCCAGTTCTTTATCCACAGAGTGGTCCATCCATCAAATTGATGTCTCTCCAATTTAGAGACAAGAATGTTGTGCAGGACAGTGTCGAACACTTTGCACAAGTCCAGGTAGATGATGTCTGCTGCCCTACCTCTGTCCATCAGTTCTGTAGCCCCATTATAGAAGGCCACCAAATTGGTCAGGCAGGATTTCCCCTTAGTGAAGCCATGCTGGCTGTCACCAAGCACCTTGTTGTTTTTCATGTGCCTTAGCATGCCTTCCAGGAGAATCTGCTCCAAGATTTTGCCAGGCACGGAGGTGAGACTGACTGGTCTGTAATTCCCCGGGTCATCCATTTTCCCCTTCTTGAAAATGGGGGTTATATTTCCCTTTTTCCAGTTGTCGGGAACTTCACCTGACTGCCATGATTTTTCAAATGTGATGGCCAGTGGCTTAGCAACTTCATTCGCCAGCTCCTTCAGGAGCTATGGATGGATTTCATCAGGTCCCATGGACTTGTGCATGTTCAGATTCTTAAGATGGTCTCGAATCATATCCTCTCCTACAGTGGGCCCAAGGTCTCCATTCTCACAGTCCCTGCATCTGCCTTCCAAGACTTGGGTGGTGCGGTCAGAGCCTTTGCCAGTGAAGACCAAGGTAAAGAAGTCATTCAGAACCTCAGCCTTCTCCAAATCCTGTGTAGCTAGTTCTCCCAAGAGCTTCCTGAGGGGGCCTACATTCTCCCTAGTCTGTTTTTTATTTGCTATGTACCTGTAGAATCCCTTCCTGTTATCCTTAATATCCCTAGCCAAGTTTAATTCTAACTGGGCCTTAGCTTTCCTAACCTGGTCCCTAGCTTCCCGGACAATATCCCTGTACTCTTCCCAGGGCACCTGTCCTTGCTTCCACTTTTTATAAGCCTCTTTTTTCATTTGAATTTTCCTCAGCAGCTCCTTATCCATCCAAGGAGGTGTCATTTATTCTGGACTTCTGAGAATGCTCACACTGCAGTTGGAAAAACCTACTAGCAATCATTTAGATTACTGGGAATCACCACAACTTTTAATGACATAAGAGGACAAATCTGACCTCTAACCACGTGCAAGGTTTTAGAGATTTGTAAATTAAACAAGCTTCAGGGGCTAAAAGACATCCTTTGTATCATTTCTGCATTGAAGACCTTACTTTCATTCAGTTGTCTCCCACCTACTTTTGTCCAATTTCTCCCACTGCCTTTTTAATTTTTTAAGCCTCAGTTGTGATTTTTTTAATGTAATCCCTGTGTTCTGGCTATATTACCTTTGAAACTGGTCAAGAACTGTTGTCTATATAGCTTCTGAAATGCCACCTAAAACCAGACTCGATGCCACAGGGAGTGTGGATATGAACATCAGATCAGATTAATTCTGCACATTTAAGTACCCTTGACAGTTTTGTATGTTACTTCATGCTCAGAAGACGGTTTTTCAAGCAGGATGCTCACAATGGAGCTACCTAACTACAAGATAGCAGGCAGGTACATACTATACAGCAGCTGGTGTCTCACACAAAATATTCTACTTCACATATTTTTCCATGTCATGAAAGATAAAACCCATAAAAAGAACATAATCTGCTACTGTATTTTTCAAAAGAAAAATTACCAAGGCAATCTGGTCCATATGTTCCAGCAGGGCAGCAAACTTCTATTGTTTCTATACAAAACCATTTAAACAAATCAGGATACTTCTTCTTTCTGTATATGAAAAACATTTATTTTTCAGAAAAATAATAATGATTATTTAAAAGCCAACTCACACAACTGCACCTGAACAATGCAGTATAGAAACCTATTGCAAGTGACAGACTAGGAACCTTTTTATTCTGTTCTAAGGACAACCTTATTCCAGGAACAAGTTTCTAGAAGTCCTTCAACTTGAGATGAAAGCAGTTTTATGACAAAGGAAAACAAAAGAAGTAAAAACTTGAAGTTTTCCTATGTTAGTTTGCCTCAACACCCCACTGGTAACTAAGTAGACAGTGAATGAGAAGCCAGACTGTTTTGGTGCAACACTTCTGGAATTGAATATAAAAAGAAGCCAGTACAGCAGCACACGCTATTAAAAGTCAGCCTGAACGCAACGGTAACTCTTGAAGGATAATTAAGAATTACCTGTACTGCTACGGTTCAGGCACAAGATTTAACATCATTTGTTCAACTTCTTAGATAATTTAGACATAAAAATAACTCCATTAAAAAAAAAACCACAAAAAAACCCCAAAACTTACAGTTTGAACCACCATTTCTCTATGTGTTCTTCATGCTCTTCTACCATATTGTTACATTCAAAGTTACTACTGTCGCACAGTTTCTCTATAATCTCTACAAGACGGATTTCGCTACAAGCAGAGAAGGAAAATCTTAAGTTTAATTTAAACACAAATTAAATAAGTTTAATTTAAACATTTGACACCACTCAAGATATGGTAGAGAAGCTAGGCTTCAGCCCAGAATACTTTATCAGTTTACAGTGTGCTCTGAATTACTTCCAAAACAAAGCAAATATCAGAATAAAAGAACTAATGAACATTACAAACTAGAAGGATGACAACAAGAACCAGTTTGGCTTGCTTGCAGTTATTATGTCTGCAGATTATAGGTTTGACAAATTTTCAACTTTCCAGAAAATGCTGACTGCAGTATTTTTCTCCTAAATTAAACATTAAGTTCCATGTATCGTTAATATCTGTTACAAGCCCACAAAGCTCACAGTAACTCAGGTTCAGAAACCCCACCCTTACATCTCAATGCTCCAACTATGATTAAAAAGTGAATTTGAAATTTGGAAGAAAGATATCCAATCATTTTGCTCAGAAGCCAAACCTATTTATGAAAAGGGAACAGTAATTTGCCCCTCTTCTAGTTTTGTGTTTGGGACTGAAATAGTGATGGCTCTAGGGAGGAGATACTCCTTTAATTCCAAAACAAGAGTACTGCAGTACTCCACACCTTCTATGACTAGTGACCATTATTTAAGATCCTTATTTTACAACTTTAATAACAGAAAAAAACCTACCACGATAAATGACAGCATTAACTTTTTTTTTTTTTTAGTTGAAACTAGGCAAATAAAGGCATTAATAAGGGGTTTCAATCTTTACTGTAACTTTTACATTACAAAGCAATGTCACATTTTAATCAGTAAGAATTTAAGGCTCGGACATGTGAAGCTTTAGCTGCAATGTACAACTTAAAGTTCTAGGCAAACACCACTGCAGTGTTTGCTACACACAGTGAATATGAAACATAGCCAAAGCAGAAGTACTGAGACAGCTTACCTGGACTCATACTTTGACAACGTTTTTTCTTCCCAAGCAGTGTTTCCACCACCAAAGTTCTTTTTAGCTGTATCTGCTAATCCCTACAAATAAACAGCACCAAAAGAATGCAAGTTACATAGAGTTTATTTCTAACAAAAATTAAGGGCAATAGTAAATGCTTGTATGAAAATTGCAAAAAGTGCCATGCAGAAACCTCAGTGAAGCTCAGAAGCTGCTGGTCAAATTGCTAAGTGAGGGAAACAGCTAGTGACAACATGAAATGTGAGAAAACATGATAGCATAACATGACTCAATTTTCATAATGCATTAAGAAGGCCTTGTTACAGTCTTCATTTACATCAAAAACATACAAGTATGAAAGTTTATACCTTTGTCCTTTAAGTTCTCACGAATTTTATTAATCAACTGAACAGGGCCTCTACTTCATTCGATTTGTATAGCAACTTGTACCAACTTGACCATGTTGTAACTTAAACACACAATCATACAACAGGATAACTAATCATGATCAGCACAACTTCTCCAAGTCACTAGGTCAGTGCCTATCAAATCATACTTTGCACTAAATCTCCATAGTTAAAGTCATCTACGACAGCAAATATACATACAAAGAGTATGATCCATCCCTGGCAGTGTTCATGGCCAGCTTGGACAGGGCTTAGAGCAACCTGATTTAGTGGGAGGTGTCCTTGTCTGTGACAGGGGTTCTGGAACTGTATGAACTTTAAGGGGTCTTCCAATCCAAACCATTCTATGACTCTAAGTATCTGTCACAAGCTGAAGCAGGCCCTCACTGCCTGCACTGAATTTACTGTGCCGTGATGTAGGACTGCTGAAAGTGGCGAGAGACAGAATTTGGGGAGATTTAGGGGCTCCTCATGGAGCCAAGTGCGGTACGGCCAGTACAGCAAATCTTTCTGCACTGAAGCACCAAAACATTTTTAGTAGCAAAGCTCGAGGAGCTATGTAACCTGCCGACCAAAAGGAGTACAACTCCTTTGCAGCAGGGAGCCACAGCCGGGAGCAGGAGGCTGCCGTGTGCCAGCTTAGACAGACGCTGTCAGTACCGGAACACCAGCGGGAACGCTCCCGGAGCCCGGCCGAAGGGCAGTAGGAGCTGTGAAGCAGAGAACAGAGCAGCTCCAGGGCCGCAGCCCCGCACTGCGCCGGCCTTCCGGCGGGCCGGCCACCCTCCGCCACAGACCGGGCGCTGCTCCGTGCAGCTGCACCTCAGTCAGCCCACAGGACCCGCTGTCAGCTCCTCACAAGGGAGTCTGCGCCCGCCGCCCCCCAGCCCCACCGCCCACCTGGTTGAACCTGTCCACGATACCCCGGCAGGTGGAGCACGCCAGGCGCCGCCGCTCCCCGGCGCACAGGCCGGGCGGCAGCATCAGCAGGGTAACGCAGACAGCCATAGCCAACGGCGCCCGAGCCGCAGGGCCAGGCTTCATGGCGAGGCCGCGGGGAGCTGCGGGGAGCCCCGGGGAGAGGGAGCGGAGCCGCGCCAGCCGCGGCACCGAGCCCTCCTCAGAGCCGGCCGCGCACAGAGCGCTCGCTCCGCCCCGGCCCCCGTAGCAACCGGCCCGCGAGCTCCATTCAGTTTTCCGCGTCAGCTTCACGCACGCTCCGGCCGCAGGCGCTCGTTGGTGGAGGCAGGGGAGCGGAGGAACGTGGTCCAATCAGCGCCCGCCACGCTCCGGACCAATCGGAACTCCCCGCGTTCTCGGAACGCTATGGGGTAAGGCGGAGGAGATAGGGAGCTGTCTGAGGAAGCGATGCGTATCGGCCTCGCGCGCCGCCGCCATGATGAGACCGGGCAGGCACGAGCTCCGCTGGGGCTTCAGCTCCCCCCGCCATTTTTACCTGGCTCCTTCTTCAGAGTCCTCTCGCTGCGGGGGCCGCGCTCTGCCCTCAGCTAACATGGCCGGTCGGAGAGGGGTCACGTGGCTACGGGGCTGTCTTCCCCCTCCCGCCCCCTTCTGCCAGCGTTCTCCGCGGGGTGGCCACGTGGAAGCGCGGGCGGTGAGTGCGGGCCGGGCGGAGAGCGCTGCGCCCATGCGGGTGGGGCGGGGAAAGGAGGGGGCGAGCGGTGGCAAGTAGCGGTCGTGTGAGGGGCGGCGGGGAGGGCTCGTTCGTTCGCCGCAGCCCTGCTGCAGCTCTGCCGGAGGGCGGCTCCGGAACCGCATCCCCCGCGGAGGCGCTGCCAGGCGGCCCCCACCTGTGGGCACGGTAGCTGCGGCGCGGCGGGAGGGAGAGGGCAGAGCAGGGCAGGCGCTTCCTGAGGGGCCGCGCGGCGCCTGTCCCGGCCGGGCCTCCGCCGCGGGGTGCTGTCCGGGCGCGGCGCGGTGCCCTCAGGAGCGGTGGGGGGTATTGTGGGCCCGTCATGACCCACCCCACCCCCAGGGCCGCACCGGAGCGACCTGAGGGGGAGAAACTTCACGCGCGCCGGGTGTAGGGGTGCTGAGGTAGCGGGCGGAAGGAAAGGGCGTGCGTGGGGTGTTGGATTGTTTGGATTTGTTTTTTTAACGAGAGCATTCTGTGTGTTTCTAACCCGAAGTGTGATGCTTTGTACGCAGCTTCATTGTATCTTAACTACCTCGTGATGTCCCAGGCTTCATCTGCCAAAGCTTTCCCTTTTCTTTTTTGATTCCCGGGGAAATGTATATAGGACAAGGGGTAGTGGCTTTAAACTGAAAGAGCGTAGGTTTAGATCAGACATTTGGATGAAATAATTCTCTGAGGGTGGTGAAGCCCTGGCTTCCTAGGGAAGCTGTGGCTGCCCCATCCCTGATAGTGTTCAAGGCCAGGTTGGACGGGGCTTTGAGCAACCTGGTCTAGTGAAAGGTGTTCCTGCCTGTGGTAGGGGCTTGGAATTAGATGAGCTTTAAGGTCCCTTCCAACCCAAACCAGTCTATGATATAAGAATAGCAACTGTCATGTTCCTTCTTAGAAAGAAAGTAGTCCCAGTAACTGCAAGCTTTAAATCTTAGCTCAAGTTAGCTTTAAAGCAAAGAGCTATTAAAGCATAGGAAAACAAAACATAAAATTGAAGATAACACAGCATAGGTTTTACCAAAGCTTGGCAAAGCCAAAGAGGGAGGACCTCATGGTGAGATGCTCATGGTGGTTCTGCTTAGATGCCTCCATACAGAGCATGTGATGAAGTGAAATGCAGCCTCTGTAGACATATTCAACATGCATTTTGGCTGCCAAACTGTGACATATTTATACTGAAACGTATCTGAAAAATGTAAGCTAAGTATGGTGGACTTCCCATGGGAAGAGACAGAAGTCCATTATTTGAACTAATGACATTTCAATAGAAAAAGAATAAAGCATTTTTATGTGTTTCAACTTTTTTTAATGTATGAAAACAGTTTGTGTTCACCCAGTTTCATTCCTAGGAAGAGATGAAATCTTTGTGTTGAAAAATTATGCTCTTCTATGATTCGGCCTTAATGTAGGACCTGGGGGGAGTCAATTTGGCTATGTTGTACAGGTTTGAGGAAGATTCTTCTAAAGTTATTGGAATGTTAATGATGGATAAAAGTGTTTGTATTTGCTTATGATGTTCCTCTTACCTTCATTATTAAAATGTTTTTATTAAGTGAAAATTGTTTCTGTGGGTTTGGCATTTAAAAAGTCTCTAATTGCAAGTATTCCACTTGAACTTTGAGATTTGCTAGAATCAATTCTCAACAGAGCAAGTTATCTCGGGTCTTGACAGGACCACTAAATTTATTAGGTTTTATCTCAGAAACCTAGGTATTGTCTTCATGCTTTGTTTTTTTATCTCCTAGCATATTTCCCTTGAGGGAATCCCAGTATGTATAATACATGTAATTATCTTCCGAATCTATGAATATGCTGGCAAGCTTACGTTCTTCAGGCATACAAAGGGATTGGAGTCAAGAAGATTAAAAGAAAGCCTTGTGATAAACTGTGTATGGGATGTGTAGCTTCACTGTCATTCTGATGATTTAGGAGGCTGAGGACTGATTATTTATGTGGTGATCAGTTAAAAGTAGTGGGAGCAGGCGATATTGTAGAGTGGTCAGAGTCTAATGAATGATTTATAGGTGAAGGTAACATCACTTTACTATACAACTGACAAAGTCAAGAAGGAAAACGTAAGAGTTTCTTGGCATTTGGATCCTTTCACAAAGATTCATCTGGTCCTGAAATATCTGAAACATTAAGAAGCTGTGAGCTGGGGGTGAGGAACACCTGTCTTGCTGGTGCATTACACACAGACAGACTAGTACAAGCTACTCAGTGCCCATGTTGCTATATGCAATGGTGGATCCTTCAGTGTCCCTTTTTAACTTGGGTGAGTTTGACCAGAAATGTGAGATGCTTTTGTGTTTATTGGAAGAGTTCAGCAAGAGAGCTTTCTAGAGGCAAGAATTTGTACAAGATAAATTGCCCCCTGCAGAGGCTTAATCCCTGCCAAATACTTCTTGAAATGCTCTGGGTGTCAGTTCTGTACCTTTTTTACTACAGCTGTGGAAAAGGGTTCTGTCATAGCATAGCACATTATCCATCCTTGTAAAGAAGTGATACTAAGCACAGGTTAAAAAGACTTCTTCCCACTTTCTGGGGTGTTGTGTTTATTTAGGCTCTTCACATTGCAAAACAAGCCAAAAATCATAAGGACCTACCACAAAACTCTGTCTTTGAGCCCAGGGTTGGAGCTTAAGTTACAGTCTGTAACTAGCAATCATGAGAAAGAGATGCAGTCAGAGAGATAGACAGATACATGCAATTTTCAAGAAGTACACAAATTTAGGGATTTATTGGTGTTGGCTGTGAAAATAACATTAACTCTATTTATTTTTGCTAATGAGCAGGACAGACATCAGTTCTAGGAGGCAGTTGCTAAGTGATCCTAGAAATCTGCCAACTATTGTAGTCTCTTTGATGGGCATGTTTAGACCAAAACATGGGAGAAAACATCTCTTAACCAAAGCCTCAGTTGCACCTTAAAGGTGCTATTTTTAAAGTTTTGTTTCTGTGAGAACAGAACAAGAGTAACAGTAACCAAAATTTCTTTTATTAAGTTGTAAACTTACAAAAAGTGGGAACTTTAAAAAGATTACCATGGTTTTGCTGGAAATGGTGATGGAAAATAATTCCCCTTCTTGCTCCCACTTTATAATCTGAAACCAGAAAAAGATGAACTGTTTACCCATGACATAGCTTATTCTTACTTGTTCTGGCATCACCTAGACACATGATGGTAAAATACATCATAAGTAGCACTATAAGAATGACTCAGTAATGCTGTGAAACTAAGCACTAGGGCCTTCATTTCTGGGCGGGAGTGCCAAGAATGGGAGTCAGACCATCTCATGCTGTAGTGAGGCATGGTGCCAAAGGGGATTCATCCTTCACTAGCCGAGTCCAGATCCAGCCACTGACAAGCTGATCAGAGCACTCAGTTCAGAGCAATTTCTCATCCTTGTGGTTCCTCTCCCACTAGTTTCTGAGTCCTAGACAAGCCCCTTTATTCTACTCTCGTGAGACCGCACTTGGAGTTTTGTGTGCAGTTCTGGTGTCCTCAGCATAAAAAGGACATGGATCTGTTGGAACAAGTCCAGAGGAGGGCCACGAGAATGATCAGGGGACTGGAGCACCTCCCATATGAAGATCAGCTGAGGAAGTTGGGGCTGTTGAGCCTGGAGAAGAGAAGGCTGTGTGGAGACCTCATAGCAGGCTTCCAGTATGTGAAGGGGGCCTATAGGGATGCTGAGGAGGGACTCTTCATTAGGGACTATAGTGATAGGACAAGGGGTAATGGGTTCAAACTTAAACAGGGGAAGTTTAGATTGGATATAAGGAGGAAATGCTTTCCTGTTAGGTTGGTGAGGCACTGGAATAGGTTGCCCAGGGAGGTTGTGAATGCTCCATCCCTGGCAGTGTTCAAGGCCAGGTTGGACGAGGCCTTGGGTGATATGGTTTAGAGTGAGTTGTCCCTGCCCATGGCAGGGGGGTTGGAACTTGATGATCTTAAGGTCCTTTCCAACCCTAACTATTCTGTGATTCTGTGTTCTAAAGATCATATGTAAATCCAGTGTGTGATTAAAATAAGAGTACACTACAAAGCTGTCTCACCCACAAAACGCAAACGTAGTTGAGGTGGCACTCTCAGTAGTTATGGCACTATGGAATAAAAAGGGAAATACTTTTTTAAGTAGGGTCTGTGTTGTCTGAGGTTTTTTTAGGTGAAAACTAAAGCCATTGCATTTAGAGAAGGTGGTATAAATCCTGAAATGGTGCTTGCATATGGTTTTGGCTGTCTGCTCAATGCACTGACTGTATATAGTAAAAAAAAAATAAAATGAATGGATTATTTGATTTAATAGTTTTTGTTTAAACTTTTCTGTTACTGTAGAATGTTTTCCTAGTATTATCAATCTCTCTGTACACTTCTTGCCATGTTATTAATGTATTTTCTTCTGTTTTTCTTTCTAATAATATTAGAATATATGTGAAATTCAAACGCAAGATGGGTCAGAGGAGGAGCTCTAGTGGGCGGCCATTCCCGTTGCTGCTGCTAATTATTGTTGTGGCCTTTGTTCATTTAACTGTCTGTCCTTTTACAAAAGTGGAGGAAAGCTTTAACCTACAAGCTATCCATGATGTGGTGTACCACCAGCTGGACTTGGATAAGGTAAATTGGAAAGAAGGTTTTCTTTCTTGGATGCTGTTAAAGATTGATTCCTTGCTATATGAGCAGGATGAGTGCAATGCAAATATGTTTAATTCCCATTTTCCTTTGTCCCTGATGTGTCTATCTTACTTAGATTTTCCTTTTTGCAGTATGACCATCATGAATTTCCTGGAGTTGTCCCAAGAACGTTTCTTGGACCAATTTTTATTGCTGCTCTTTCCAGCCCAGCTATATATATACTCTCTATGCTAAGAATGTCAAAGTTTTACTCCCAGCTGATAGGTATGAGATCTTTAAACCCTCAGAATAGAGATGTTTTTACTACTGGACTAACTGGTGATGTCTGTGATGCTGTTGTAACATTCAGTGTTCGGATCAATGCTTAAATAATATATTAGTTTCCTTATTGAGGGATTTTGCAAACCATAGGTAGTTGGAGCTAGCATGGTAATTACACCCCTCTTTGGGGTAGCTAACAGCACAAGGTGTGTGGTAACAAATGTCAGGCAGTGTAGAAAAAGCAAGTGTCTTCAGTGAAGACAGTCCCAGGTGTACTTCCATGTACACCTCAGAAAATATTGTTTAACTTGGGCATAGAAGCATTGACCTATGTGCAAAAGTGTCAGACAAGTTAATGATGGATTAAAATAGTTAAACTAATGGGGAAGCTTTGGGTTGTTGGTTTGGGTTGTTTTTTTTTTTCTTCAAAGTGGATTATATTGTGTTATCTTCAGTATTATTCTTCATAACATCTTCATGTTCTGTTATGCCATATGGTTGTTCAACAGTGATCCATCAATTACTACTCTTATTTCACATTTTTATTCTTCTAATAGTCCGAGGAAGCTTGGGACTCAGTGTGATTTACGCATTATGGAAGTTGCAGAAAGAAGTTAGAAAGCAGTTTGGAGCAACTACATCAACAGTCTTTTGTCTCATCACTGTTACTCAGTTTCATTTGATGTTTTACTGTACACGAACCCTCCCTAATGTGTTCGCACTTCCTTTTGGTAAGTATTCACCTAGGAATAATTCTGAAATATAAAAATCCTCAAATGTATCAGTGTGTTAAAGCACAGAAAATGTGTGGTCAGACCAAATGGGTTTATGCGCTTGATTAAATTGTATAAGAAGACTAGAATTAATGAAGCAGTTGTTATTTTTTGGTCTTTTTTTTGGTTGGTTTTTTTTTTTTATCTGTATGTGCTTTCAATGACTGAATCCAGTTTTATTGAATCTGAGTATGTGTTGAGTTTGTCAGTTGGTTTTGATTAACTACAGGTTTGAGTACACATACCCCACGCATAAAACAGAGCTGTTGAAAAGGCAGTATAAAAAAAAACTCCCAACCTTGTGAACTTAGTCTACACAGGAAACAGCTTTCTCATGAGACTGTGGAACAAACTCCACCGCAACAGCTCACCTTCCTCTTCTGAAGTTATCTACAAATATAGCAGGTTTTGAAAAAAAATCAAAGTCAAAATCTTACCCTGCACATCTACACATACAGTTTTTCCCCATAGTGGACGAGAGGGAAGATTAACCCTGTAACAGATATTAGTTGAGTCACTTAATGCTTCAACGCAAGTTGCTCAACTAGTAAAATCATGAGGTTGGTGTAAGAACCTGTATAGATCAGAACTGAAAAACAGAATGTGGTTGAATTGTCAGATAAACACTGTGTAGTAATAAACTTCTCAAATAGTTTATGCTGGTACTAATTAAAATAAAGTTGTTTCGTGGTTTTGTACTGTTCATATTTAGCATGTTTTCCTTAGAATCATGACCACTTTACTAGATAGTGTTATAATGTGATTTTTAACTGTGAAAAAAGTCTGTAGAGATGTGTCTTCAGCTAACCATGCAAACGGATTTATAGTTCTTTCTCCGCAGGAGGTAGTCTATAGTCTTGTTTTTGTATTTGAGATGGGTTGCTGTTATCATGAATACAGGATATACTCAGCCAAGAGAATAAACTCTCAGCTAAACTGAGCAGTAAGAATTATGAATCATAGTTTGGAAGGCTTTTAGTACTCCTCTAAAGTTTGCTTTTACTTTTTCTTTTTTTCCCTCCCTGCCCATCCCCCCAAAAAGCTATTAAACGTACTGTCTAGGAAGAGTTCCTACGTGTTCCTTCTGTGGTTATACTTTAAGCCTTAGCAGCAGAAAGGTGTGTGTTGTTTCAAATTACATTTCTCTAACAGATGAAGAATTTCTGGACTAGAAACAGTAGGAAGACCAAGAGGGGGTTGGTGGGGAGTTAGAGGAATAAGATGCTAGCGTTGAGAAAAGTGTTGCTGTTGAGAGAAAGAACAGTTCGCCATGTTGGACAGTGTGTTTTATTTCTTTTTGCAGTGCTCCTGGCATTGACGTTTTGGATACAGCAAAAGCAAAGGCCATTCATTTGGTTCTCGGCTTTGGCAATTATAGTCTTCAGATCAGAGCTCTGCATATTCTTAGGCCTCATGCTCCTGGTGACGTTATTAACTAAACGAATCTCCATTTTCAAAGTTCTTTCCCATGCTGTTCCTGCTGGAATTTTTTGTCTGGGTAAGTGTTTGCTTGGAAAAAACAAATGCCATGTGTTAAATTCAGCAGAAGTCTGGAGATTTGACTGACTTCTCTGGTGACGTGGCCCTTGGGGCTTTTTTTTTTTTTTTTTCCTTTTTTTTTTTTTTTTTTTTTGCCCCTCTATATGCCAGTGCTATGACATGGTTATTTATTTCTTTGGAAATTTCCATGTGAGGAAATAGGTGTGCACAGAGCAGCAGAAAGATACTGTGACCCCTGCCTTTAGATGCTTACAATTCAATGTCCTGATCTTAGAAAGGCTAAGATATGCAAATGGACTTTTGTAAAATTAGTACATGGCTGTAGCTACACATGCATTATCAGTTGTAGTATCTATTGCCATGACAATAAGCTGAATCCCAGGATACAACAGTGTGGCAGACAGGGATATCAAGGGAGGGTTGTGGATAGTCACAGTTCGTTCATCTCTGTTTCTTTATTACATTAATTTTAATAGTTTAAGTGATTATCCATTCTGGAGAGTTTGAAAAATCCCCATGTCTCTGCTCATCCATGGAAGGCTTATGCATATACTCATAGAATAGTTTGGGTTGGAAGGGCTTCTCTGCCAGCCTACCTAATTAAAAATGCTGTTTTCAGATGCCTGATAGTGACCTCTGGTAGTATGCTGTCGCTTCCACAGCATGGGCAGTAGAGACAGTAGAAAATCATGACATGTGCATTTGGAGGCATCTCACAGCATGTTTGGAGGTCCAATGGGAATTAGTCACTGGTACTCTCATTCCCTCTCTGGGCTAACTTCATAAATACCAGAGCAGTTTTCACAGAGCTGGGTGAAGGAAATGGGGTTGATGGATTTGCTGCTCTTCCTGTCTTTTTGCCTTTCATCCCTTATTGTCTTTCTTCCCTCCCATCTAATAAATAGTAGCAAACTTCTAGAGATTAATTTTTCTGAATTTACCAGCTTGACAATGAACATATATTTAGTACCATTTGAAGTTAACCTGGGTTTCTTGCCATTCACTGCATTTAATGCTCTGATATTCTTTCAAAATGACCTTCAATGAAACCACTGCTTTTCACTCCTGGGGTTGGAGTGGGGCAACTCTTAATCAGTTTCCTGTCTAACATGCTTCTGCTAAGACTTCTATTAAGAAGTGCCTCCCTCCCCTGCATTTCCAGTGCAAAATAGATTCAACCTTTTCTGTGGCTTTGGGTGAGGCTTACAATGCATGTTTCAGTTTACGTTGATCTCGTCAGTAAATGTGCAATTTGGGTGTGTTAGTTTGCTTTTCCCTAGTTTTTAATTCATGCAGATTTATATTTCTTTAATTCTTTTAGGGCTAACAGTTGCTGTGGATTCTCTATTTTGGAGGCAACTTGTGTGGCCTGAGGGGAAAGTGCTCTGGTATAACACAGTTTTAAACAAAAGTTCCAACTGGGGAGTATCCTTTGAAACATCCAGGAAAAAAGATACATTGAACAATACTAGCCAAAGCAGAGACTTGATGTGACCTATTCCTGAGACTCAGTTATGGTGTTAAATTCTGTTTTTCATTTAGTATGTCAGTATTTGAAGCTTATGAGACAATGTCTGTTTCTTAGATCTATAAATTTTAACTCTCATCTGCTGACTGTTCCTTCTTGCTTTGTTGTGTTCCACCAATGTAAAGCCATTTTTCTTCCCTTGGTTTTTCATGTTGCCCCTCATTAGAGCTTTTTGATGTGCCTCTTTTGGGTGATGTGAATATAGTAGACAACTGCTGTTATTTCTCAAAGGATAAGGCAAGAAACCAAATGCCTGGAAGAATGTGATATACAAAAAGCATACTGCGTATTTGCAAAATGTGTGTGTACTACTGTAAAGAACAGTTACTTTACATATTAGCAGTGAAAGCATCCTTAACTCTCACCTTGAAGACCTCCCCCTTCTTGTGGTATTTCTATTCAGCCCTGCCTCGTGCTTTGGGATGCAGCATTATATTTGTACCTTTAGGTGTAGCAGAAAAGAGAACTCGGATATTACTCTTGCCAGCACTGGGCTTTATTTTCTTGTATTCATTTCTCCCGCACAAAGAGCTGCGTTTTATCATATATACTTTCCCTGTCTTCAACATAGTGGCTGCTAAAATGTGCTCACGAATGTAAGTTCAAAATTCTATGGGGTTTTTTTGTTTATTTTTTTTTTTTTGTTGTTGGGCTTTTCCTCCCTCTAAAAATGCAAAAGAAAAGCAAAACTTATTACTGGTTTTACACACTTCTTTCCATCTTGGAATCTGAATTATCTTGAGAGCTTCATATGCTTTAGAAAGGAGGTCTGTATCATTGTATCCATTTGATTAATGAGGGAAATGGAGACAAATAATTTGATAGGATGATTTGGCAAGTTTGGGATGGAGTCAAGAATAGAGCCCTGATTTTACTGTTATGCTGTTACAGTTCAGTTTATTTTGTCCACTAGAGAAAGATATGTTCAAGTGTACTACTGTGGTGTTAACATAACTTACCTTAGGAGGTATGTAATAAATAGGTGGGGCTCATGAACCATGAGTTTGTGTTAAATAGTTAAGCTTGGATACATTGAGTAAACAAATTGAAGGTGAACTCTGAACTTCTTTGAAAGAGACTACATTCACAGCTAAAGGTTTTAAACACACATACTTAGCTTCATTTATGAGCTTGTATTAGCATTATTAATTAGATTATTCTAATTTAAATGTCACTAGAAGCTAGTCTTTTAGGGATGGATCATAAATGCACTCCATACACATGATTGTAATAACATTTGCATTAATTTTCATTACCTAGCAGTGGAGTTTTCATATGAGTTCCGTCACAGTAGCCAGTGACCAGTATGAAAGAAAAGTAACAGTTTATTCTTACTCATTCTTTCCTTCTTCGACAGTCTGAATAACTACCGGAAGTCCTGGCTGTACAAACTTGGATCTTTCTTTGTTGTTATGCATCTCCTAGTTAATGCTGCTTATTCAGGAACATCTTTGTATGTTTCACATTTCAATTACCCTGGAGGTGTGGCAATTCAGAAGTTGCATGAGTTGGTGCCTTCAACAGCAGGTATGTAAAGGTGGCTTGAGGTACATCCACCTCATTTTAATTGCAGGGTTTTTTTGCTAGTGTATCTTTCTTTTCTTTTGATTGGGTATTACTTCCTCACACTATTTACATGCATCTTTTCTGTTACTGTTTTGTTAATTTATTGACCAAAGTGTTCTTAAAACAATTGAAACTATTTTGTTTTCTTTATTTATGTAGACGTCTCAGTCCATATTGATGTGGCTGCAGCACAAACAGGAGTTTCTCGGTTTCTAGAAATCAATTCAGATTGGAGGTATGTTATGAACAAGGTATTTTGATCTGAAGACAGGAGTCTGCTTTTTTCTTTTTGTATATGCACAGGGGCAAGCATCACAGATACAGGGTATTAAGCCAGGTCAAGAATAATATGAATCCTCAGAGAGTTTTGATGTATGTAGTGCTGCCACTTCAGAAATAGAACACAGCAGCATTGTTTAATTGAGTAAGTTGGTTCTGGTTTGCCTGAGTAGTATAGAATCTTTTAAAGAAGTCAGAAACAGTGCAACAAATTGTGAGCTTCCTAAAACACCAATGTCTTTAGTGTAGCTACATTTGATATCTCACTACATCTTGCAAGAGAGCTGTAGGTGAACACTTTCCTGCTCTTGGCAGAGCAGTATATAATTGTGGGGGCTTGTTTGCTTTTGAATGATGTGTAGCAATGTGAGGCTTATGTGTGTATTAATAAGTTTAATTTTATGTGGAACGTCCTTCACATAGATGGCATTGAAGCTGCTGTGGTTGGGCTGTCGGTCACGTCCTTTAGCTCTGAGAGAAGGCAGTTGAGTGATTTGTTACCATGACCAGTAGCGAGCTACAAACACAAATATTGAATAGTAGGAGAGATGTTTGTGGGATGGCTTTGGTTGCTTTGCAACCAAAAAAGGCACCTTTCTGTTTCTTAGGCCTTCCTCTTCAGCTGAAGTGCAGGTTTCCTATTCAAAATACCATATTAATGGAAATTATTCAGCAGAAAGTGACACAAAGCCTCACTTCATACTTGCACAAAACAAAAGCAATACAAGCAGATTTTGTTTTAAAACGTAATCTGAGCACGGAGTTTTGTTTTTTAACTCCATCTACAGCCTTCAGGATCAGATGAACAAACATATTTCTTTTTTACATTTAGATATAAAAGTATTTTGGAAGTCAAGAGGGAGAAGGTGAAAGCATGATTTTGGGGGAAATACAAAAATCACTGCACTTGCTATGGCTTATTTTATTTTTGTGCTCTCTGACAACATTGTGATGGTATGGACAGTTTGAAGCTGAATTACCTTCACAGTTAGCAATTCAATGTTGATTTCAAATTGGTTTTTGCATGTTCAATCTAGAGAAAGTCTTAAGCCATACGCACTCAGGAGGAGATACTAAACTAAAAGTGATAGAACCCAGTATAGTTATTATTAGTGATAGCTAAAATGTTCCAATCTTTGTTTTTTGAACACACTTAAGTACACATGCTACTCTAAATAGAACTCTACTCTAAATACAGTGTTTAATCTCAGTGGGCTTTTTTGAGCTGGTGGGTTTTGGATTGTTTTGGGCTTGCAAGGCTGTAGTGTGGTGGGATTGGGAACAAATTACATCCCTGTCACTGATGGATGATGTTTCATAGTGTTGCTACTACAGAGTAGTTTTTCTCTCTTTTATCTTTACTCTTCATAATAAAGCCACAAGGGAGGGCTGGTTCATCATAGAGCTTCACATTAAAAAAATCGGGCAAAATCCGTAGCTGAGCATCATACACAGGACTGTCACTTTGTCTGACAGCAGGGTAGTGCAAAGTTTAGTGGCACCAGCTGTCCATTTCCCTATTCAAGGAAGTGATGAAAACTAACTCGCTGTCTTCATAGACTCTGTACAACAGGTGAAAACAGATTTAAGGATGGAGTTGCTATGAAGGGTGATGATTCATCAGCATAACTATGATCCATAAATAAAAATGTCTTAGAGTTAACAGCTTTCAGTGGCATGCTCAGATTAGATCTATTTGCCTCAAGAAAAATGCAAGTGATCCATTATTTTTCTTCAAAGGGTGACTGAAAGAAGCTTGATGCAGATTCTGACACGGGACAGGTGTTACAATCTCGTCTTCAATTAGTGCTGTCTCTTTGAACCAGGAATAAATGTGCTGTGTAAGCTTCAAGTATTTAAAAATAATAAAATTCAGACATGCTTGCAGCCAGATGAAAGGCCCTTTATGTGCTGATGAAGAAAATGCAAAATTAGTAGCTGGTAGAGGTGTTACAAAGTATGCTGTTCCTTTTGCCAGTTGGATGCACGTAACATCCTAAGTGGTACTGTGATCTTTCTGGAAATACTAGATGAGATTGCCATGCAATTTTTTTTATCATTATTATTGTTTTGAGAGGAAGAAAACAGTTGTTCATGTGCAGAGTCTAATTCTACATTATATGATGTATTTATTGACACCCCTGGATTCTGTCAGCCTGGGGTCTCTTCTTTCTTGTTAACAAAATTTAGTTAATAATCCACACAAACCCTCTAGTTTGCTGTAGTCCTTGCTTTGAATATCTTAAATGTTAATGACTGCTATGTCAGGGAGTGTTGTGAAAATACAAATCAAGATGGTTTGCAGTTTTTCACAGAGAACTGTGGCACGTGAGGCCAGGCCTGCAAAGACAGACATGGTGAAGGTGCAGCCTGGATTTGCTCCTAGGTTCATTTAAGAGTATGAAGGCTTGGGATTGCATTTTCCTTCCAGTGTCTATGCCTGTAAGAAAAGCCACAGCCTTGAGTAAGTTGCTTGTGAAATCTGTGGGAGGAATAAGGTGCCTAAGAATAGGAGTAGAATGCTGGTAGAAGGCAGTTCACAGAGAAGGGCAACAGAAGAGGTTGAATGCTCTTCACTTGGGTTACAGAGCATTGACTCCTTTATAGTTAGATACCTGAGACTGTCTTGTCATAAACTAAAGGAAGTAACCTTCATCTTAACCTCTGTCTTCTGGACTGTTAACCCAGCATTAGTGTAGAGCATTCTTCTGGTATACAGAGCAAAGATTTGAATCCAGCTCTCCCACATTTGGAAGCACACTTAACAGTGGTCTACAGAGTGTTTTGAGGTGGATTTATCTTATTCTTCCCCTTTGAAGTTGTTGGACTGGGGACTCGATCAGGCTGCCATATCCAAATTAAGCGTCCTAACCCTTGGGCTGTAAATTGCACCTGACTATCTTCAGTGAATGAATAAATAACTATTGTGAAGTACAAGTGTCTTCATGAGACAGCAAGAGAGATCTGTCTCAATTTCTAGAAAATAAGAGAGGTTCATACAGCTCTGTGCAGCAATGAACCATCTGGGCTTAGGTCAGATGGAAAATGGCTGAATCTAGATCTTTCACATCCCTGCCAAATGCTGAAGTTACTTGTTTTCTCATCCTGTAAATTTCTGTTGCAGGTAGATTGAATGTAACTCCTTTTAATAACTGTAGGTGTTAAAACAGTTTTGGAACTCATTAATTATATATATTTTAGATAAATAATTTACATATATTTAGATACCTAAACAGTTTCATGAAGGTGACCCAAAGTGACCTACCCAAACATATAGATCATGGAACTGAACCCATAAATAACAAGTGCCAAGTTAATGCTGTAATTGTCAGGCTATTCTTTCTTTCGTACAGTGTTCAAGGAGGTCTTTTCTATGTGATTCTCTGAGGCTTCTACTTTAATGTATGACTACCAGGCACGGAAGGTTTCTGGTATCCTTTCTTCACAGAACTCGGATAGAGGACTAGTGAGAAATTTACTAGGAGTACTGATTCATATCACAGTAGCAGCAGAAAGGCTTGCATGGAATGACTGGCTCCCTAAGCTCTACTATTTCACCCTCAAATACAAGTTAATTGAATCAAAAGATATAGCTGAGAATGTTACATTTGCTTTTCTGTTTCATCTTGGATGATGCTACATGCCTTGTAATAATTGAGATGTTTAATATGTAAAGAGAGGAATGTAAATAAGCCATCTCTATTCTTTACAGGTATGACAAAAGAGAAGATGTGAAACCAGGAGACCAGCTGATGTTTTCTTACACACACATACTAATGGAAACAAACCCTCTTCAAATATCACATTACAAGACAACCCACAGGCCGCTGGCAAATATACCTGGCATCAGTAAAATTGGGTTGAACTTTACTGCACTACCTCCTTTTACTTTAAACTTGAAACCAAAATTAGTACTGTTGGAAAAACTTCCTCTATCATCTTGACTGTGAATTTTAAGTACATTTTTTGATGTAATTTTGCTGATGACCGAATAAGATGCAGCAAATTGTCATTCCAGCACTGCAGTTCAGCTTCTGTGGAAAGGCACAGAAAAATCTTTGTACCAGTTGGTATTTAGCTCCGTCCTGTTTCTTACATGAACATTACAGTGCGTTCCTAGTCAGTATATACTCAAATACTGAGTTGTATTGTTAGATACGTTTGAGAGATGCTACCTACAAGTTTAGTAGTATTAAGTAAAACCTGTCTACTTGGTTTGGGTAGCTGCCTGTTTCATAACGTAGCACAGGTATGTCCTAATTGTCCTAGATAAGATACATAATGGCACAGGTTTGTGCTACGGCAATAATTTGATATGTAATCTATGTGTGCAAAGATATATTGATGTATCTGCAGGATTGTAACCCCTCATTGTCAGATTGCCTGTGTGAAACTTATGATGCTGTCAACGTAGGAAAGCCATATTCGTTGTAGCTTCATCAGAATACCTAACTGTGCCCTGTAGGCTACCAAACTAATTAAAGACTGACTTAAAACGCAGTTGGACCTTTTAACAAGCACTGTCTCATAACAGATTTGAGGATGGTCATCTTTATTCCAAGAGCTCATAAAGAAGCAGCAACTTGGTTTTCACAGGAAAAAGAACTAAAACTGAAGCTTCCCTCTTTTGCTGCAATATCTAGACTTGCAGTGCAAGAATTTACCTATGAAAATACTCACTTGAATACACATCTAAAAGATAGGTACTTTTTTTTTTTTTTTTTTTAATTTTTATTAAGTAGTCCCTTTGGAAAGGCATAATCTTATGTGCTGTGTGTTGCATTCTGTAAACTAGAATAAAATAGCATGCTCTGTAGTATCTTCTCTATTAGATGTTTTTGTTAAGAATGCTAAGGGATAAACTAAGGATAAAAAGTTGGAATTCTGGTTAGGGCTGGTTGTAATATGACGGGAGCTCCATTGGTGTAAAAATCAGTATTGCTGAAATAAACATGGGCAGCAAACTATTCTTTGCTGGCTTAAAACTTGAATAAAAAAATCATTGAATAAAGCAGGTTCATTCAGGAATACCTTTACCCGTTTGTACATTTCATTTCGTAGGACCATGTGTTCCTTTTATCCTCTAGATGATGTAGCAGAGGATGGGATCACTCCCTTGTGAGTGGCTGTAGCTGTTGTGCAGGCTTCTTCAAGTGGAGCAGATGTGGCAAACGCAACCTGCAGAACTTGTTCGTCCAGTCTCTGGCTGCTCTAGAAACTCAAATCACTCAAGTATTATCTATTTGACTTGCCTTTGGAAGGAAACTCAGCTTACTTCAGAACCACTATGAACATCAATTCACATGAGACAGAAGGAAGTACATGTGCAAATAGCTGAGAATTTGGAACGAAATAAGAGGAAACTTTTAAATAAGGATGTAGGCCCTTACGTTAAATCTAATCATTGTCTTTATGTGACTTTCCCACGCTGTAATCCGTAACTCAAGAACCTACACTAAAATTTAGCCTGCCCAAGCATAGACAGATACCTGCACTGCTGCAGTTAGGTGTATAGTTACTCCAGCTTTCCAAACCCCGAGTTGTCAGAAACCCTCTGCAAACACAGAGAGACCTTAGGGCTATTATGCTTGTAACACTCAGCTAGAGCTAATGCCTGGGGTGGCATGAAGTATGTGACCATTAGGCATTTGAGGAGTTTAATCTTCCTGCATGTCAAATACACATAGCTGATGGGTGCAGGTAAGACAGACACTGAAAACCTGGAATTTCTGAAGTGAGGTTAAAGTACTAAATTTCTGATGACTACTGAAGTTATTAAAATTATTTTGTTTTGACTAATTATAAACAAACATAAAATATCCAACATAAAATATCTTTAACACTGGGAAAAGCCAGAACTTGTCTGAGGGTCTTCTCTTTGCCCTCCCTTTCACTTCAGCCATCGAAACAGCCTCAATGCAATGTTCCAAGGTAACAGACACTGAAACAGATACACCCCTTCTTCTCTGTTCCTGCCCCTTGCACACATCCCCTTAGTGAGACAGGTTACACATACAGGCAAACAAGATTGTGATTATGCTGCCTGTCCTAACTTGGTTACAACTGTTCTAGGACCATTCCCATCTACCCAAGTACTCCTCATTCTCTCCATAACACTAAGGAGCTTGCAGGTGATACAAGATTGAAGCACTTGTTCACTGTATCTTGATTTCAATGCAGGAGTGTGCAGTCCCTTGCACCCCAGAACCTTTTTCCCATAAATAACAATTATACACAAGTCTAGTGCTGCTCTTGCTATCTTCATTTTGCTACCTGTGCTCATGCTTAGAGTCCCTTCTCCACTCAGGGCTTTCCTTGTAACTTAGCATTGAGTCTGCCTTCTGTAAATGACTTCACTTCGTGAGGAAAGACCACCACCACAGGCTGAGTTAGTCACTGATACAAGCAGGACTGTTCAGCCACAGCCTTCTCGGCTACTTAAGTGTCTCAATGAAATGTATCTTTCTGCTTAACACCCCACACAGGGGATTAAGAGGGTGGTGGCAGAAATTCTGAAGTTAAATGACAACACCTCTGTGAAGGTTTTCTTCAGTTTTTATTTAAATAGGTGTGATTCTTAAACATAATCCATTTTGTATGCAACTGCTTACTTTAGATCAGCTCTTTAGATAAACATGAGCAACTGCAACCACTTTTGGTTGGTTGTTTCAGACCTTTGTGACAGCAAGGCCAGTGTTCCTTCTGAAATTCTACATCTTACTGTCAGGGGAAGTCTTTCACCAATTCTGCTTTATTTCAGCTGCAACTGCGCCTGGTTCTGTACCAAGGCTTGATCTGTGTCCAGATATGTCAAGTGTAAGGTAAAAATGCTGTCTGAAATAGAACCTATCTTTTTTTTTAAAACTCTTTCTTGTCACCAATACTAAAGCAAAGGATGAATATATTTGTGGAAGCCTAAAATGCTTAGTTTATAAAATCTAAATAACCTCTAATTATTAATCTGTAATAATTTGTTATTTGCTAATTATATGTTTTTTTTCCCTGTGTTTGGAGATAACTAAATGCAAGTTTGTTACAGTCATCTCTGTATCGTGGCAGAAGAAATATGCTACTTTATGGCACAGATCTCTCACCAACTATAAGCAACTACTTTGAGCTTGTCATCTAGATAGACATTTAATCAATCACATCCTTGTGCTGGAATATAAGCTGCTCTACATGTTGGGTTTTTTTTTCAGGTTTTGTAAATTCAGAAGCAACACCTGGGGAGCAAGGAGAAGCCAGGAGCATTCCTAGTTAATGTAGTCCAGCAGGTTTCCTTCACTTCGTGAGTAGGGAAGGAGGCCAAATGGAAAGGGGCAATGCCAGAGGAGCATTATCACAGGTTACCAGAGCCTAACACAACTCCCAGAGGATACCTTCCGTAATATTCTCTTCACAAGACTTGAGCTTGTTGAAGAGGCTGTTGTAGATCTCTACTTCTTCCCCTTCCTATCTTTAGTACTACAAAGTATCTCTATTTACAGTGTGTAATTAGTTACACCTGAGTACTCTTAGAAACAAAATCTGCAAGATCCTTATGGGGACACCAAGTACTATCTTCTGTGTCATCTACCCTAAGAGGAAGAACGTCTACTTACTAAATTTATTCCCAAGGTTGTAATGTGCTGAAATGAACGGTTTAAATGGAATAAGTATCACTGTTGCAGGACCACATCATTATGCATTAGGGAGCTGTCTGCTGCTGCAGGGGCTGGTGCAGCACAAACAGCATGATGAAAACCCCCACTGTTAATAGTTTGTGCTTTATTGCAGTCAGAGAGAGTAATGTGAGAACACAGGGGTTTCCTTGGCATTACAGATATAAGGAGGGTTGGAAGAACCAAGACTTAGCAATCCCTAAGATTTATATTAAAAATAATAAAGTAAACCCAACACAAACCTCGGCCACTCAATGACTTACCTCAATACTTTATTGAAAGCTTTCAGTCCTCTTTTGGAAGTCACTGTTTCCTCAGAGGCATCAGTGCCTGACCTGGAGGTGGAGATGCTCCTGTAACTCCTATAGAAGGATCAAGGCTTACAACTGAAACCATCAACTTCATGCTTTCAGTCTCTCCTATTTTTATTTCAGAACTGTGTGTTTCTACTTTAAACCCTTTTGGCTTCATCTTTAAAATATTCTAACACAAGCCTATTACTAGTTCTTACCCAAGCTGACACTGAAACAGCGTGGCCTTAAGAACTGAGCCTTTCAAAACCAAAATCAAACTACAGGCACAAATAAAAGCAGACAAACTGATAAAATTTTACTTCTAAGAATCATGACTAGCTCTTGTGCTCTCAGGAGAAGTTTTGATGAAAAGCATGACCATGCAATTGTGTACCCATATGAATAAGATGCAGACTGGGGGCTACAAACTGCCATCTCTTCAGCTTTCCACAGGAGCTACAGCAAAGGCAGCCTTCAGAAGAGCCAAGAGGCTTGTTTCCGAAGAACTGGGATTCTCAGGTAAGCTGGCTGGCTGCCAGCATTCCTGCTGGGATGCTGTGGCTCTGCAATGCTTTAAGCCAAAGGCCATGTTTACATTCCAGCCTTCAGGAAAAATTGTATCACTTGTTTAAAAAACCCCAATTCTTCATCATCTCCCCCCTACCGGTTTGGGGGAATCAAACATCTCCTATAGGGAGGTCAAGGTTATATATTCACAGTTAAAACGTAGGGAAAAAACTGAGGTAATAATTAACCAGTAACCACTTAAACAGTTTCCCAATAAACTGCTTCAAACTCACCTACTTCCAACTATACATGAACTAGAACAAATTGTTTTATTACTGCAGAAAAAAACCCCACACATGCTGCTCTCATTTAACCCCAGAAGAACACAGAAATGCTGACTGTTGATAGAACTGAAAGTTACCTTTTAAAATACTGGAGACAAAATGCAGTATTAGTTTTTCCCAAGTACACTGAATAATAATTTACTTAAATAGTACAGGTGTAAACATGGAATAACAACTGAAATACCTGAAGCCATAACATGTTTATAGAAATGGCATGTGGAAACCAAAGCCATGTGGGACAGAATTCAACACATCTCCCTGAGGTTGAACAGCTTGAGAGAAAAGGAAAGCACCAGAATCCAGGCTTAAATCCAAGAAGGAAAACCAGTCTTGTCACATAGCAAGTACTGTGGTGCATTTATGACAATTACAACTGTATCAATTAATTTTTATTCAAGTGTTGTCTTAAATCCAACTGGAAATAAAAGGCAGTGTTGACTACTGCTAGAAAATTGCAAATAAAATGTTTAATTTCAGAAACCAAGTTCACCATTTATAAATACACTAAAACATAGTAAATGCAAAATTAGATTAGGCATAGGTACAGTATTTTAACAAAGCTACAACTTTTCTAAAAGGTCATAGGCAAATGATGACTTGTTTCCCAAAACATACTGAATGAAAACTGAAATGAGAAGATTAATCTTTCTACAGTTAAATCATGGAGAACGGTCCTATCAAATTAAATGCTGGCTATTTTTTTTTTTTCCCCATCTTGAACTCTGTATCCCATTTGCTTGATGGACACCAACAGTTAAGAATCAACCCTACTACATAAAATTCTAAGCAGTGCACCATATCCATAAGGCTATTACTGAAAATCAGAAGATCCTTTATTTCTGTACTAGGAGCTTTAGGACAGGCTGTTCTACACAACTGAAATTACATTAGGAGTAAGGGCTCAATTTTTACTATAGGGAACCTTATAATTTCGATGCACTAAAGATTAGAAAAGGCTTTAGAATGACACTGGAGTCTTCATGGTTTCTTGCCTTTTTTTCTTTGTACATGGCATTAAATAACAAG